GAATGACAAGGACACATCGAAACCAGTCGCTAGACATTTTAATTTACCTAATCATTCTAAGCAACATATGGCAATCTGCGGTCTTTCCTTACACTTAGGTAGCACGGAAAGCCGTAAAACTCTTGAACAAAAGCTCATCTTTCAAACCGGCAGTCTAAATCCCACAGGGATCAACGAACGCTTTTCATTCCACTAATTTATTCGTGTTTTTCTCGTTGCCATGTTCCCACCAATAACGTAGCTCCATTTTCTGCCTTTAAAAGCACACACAACCCACAATTCCTCTATTCGCTCCGACGAAGGGCTAACGCTCGAAACGTCAGCTTTTGTAATCGTTAAGGTGGCCAATTTACCATTTCAACTTTGTTGATATATCCAAATTATTTCGTTACCCCCACCGACGCAGCCCCAAACAGTTTCTTTAGAAACTATCAGCCTTTATCCGGCAAACGCTTACCCTCATAGACTCTGAAAATCTACTGATGACCCATCTGCCAGAGGTCATACGCTTCTGAAATATACCTCATTATTCATTGTTTTGATTGGTTCGCCTAGTAACAGTTATCCACTCTTATAACCTTTTTTGCCTAGTGGAAAACTGAAAAAAAATTGTGGTGGGTGTCATAAAGCTCCCTTCTTCCTTCGGTGAAAACTGTGCCTCGTACCACGTGCATGGAATTCAAAGTACATTTAAACTCCATTTCATCTAATTAAATATTCAGATCTTGCTGTGTAAACAATTACAACTACCTTGCCAGAGTCTCATTCGGCTTCGGTCGAAAAGGCATCTCACGTCCCATGTTTTAGCGGTTCGAACAAGCATCGACTTCCCATTATTTTATCAATTAAAAAAATTGGTGTAAGAAAAATCCATTTAGCAAGCTTCCCCGACAATATCGAAACACAGGCGAATCTTGGCCATAGACAACTCGGTACTGGGCACCTCGTTTGCCATACAAATCGCACGTTTATGGAATGATGTGGCAATGGTTTCAATAAAAACGGTTACCGTTACGAATAAGACCTCTAACCACCGTCTGTTTGGCACGCAGGCTCTCGCCCTACAGCCCCTTTCCCAGACAAAGCCCTGACTAATTGTTTAAAAAATTATCACCATAAAAATTGAAATAATTGATTTACAGTTAGCCCCTCACACTGAACTGGAACCTGTGAGTCACCCGCCTGAGTCCGCGTCATTCACAAACTCGTCTTCCGTTCTCCAGAGTGGGATACATATTACGCTCGAGTAAAACGATGACTACAGCTGTCGATCGACTAAAATCAATGCATGCTATGAAAATACGTCGATCTCTGTTCATGAGATCTGGACGTCAAGAACACTGCACGCTGAAAAAGTCATGTCACTAAATCCCCAGATAAATGAGACTCTTTTAAAAAAATTGCTTTTTAGATAGCTGCTACATTAAATTAAGATTTACCCGGAGAGTTTTATATTAGCAATATATGACCATTCATTTGATATTTGACTCAAGTAACCATCCAGAGTAGGCATTTGTTCGCTAGTTCCCCATTTGAGAATACTTTGCCCACAAATTATGTTAAAAGGGAATGTTCTTTTGGAAGATATCAAGCTATAGGAAACAAACCTTTGGTCTCACATGCAAGGGAAGGAATAAAATGTAGCCAAACACAAGACGCTTCCACCAGTAAATCAGAATGATGTTTACGATGAATGATTCGCATGAATGACCAAAGTACAGTTTCTTTGTCACGTGTTAATTCTCGTGCCCAGGACCTACGAACTTCAAGGAAATAGAAAGAAAGGAACGGATAAATGCCGTGAAGGTGTAGTTCAAGTATAAAAAACTCCGGTTACCCTAAGGGAAAAACACAAGCCTGAACTCGGCCTTCTCTAATTCTCGATCGTCGAAGTTTAGCTCTAGTTTCAAAAAAATTGAATTTTCCACAAGAAAATGACTGGCACTATTGGAAGAGTGGAGTTTTCAGGTCTATAGAAATAGATTTTAAGTTTAATACTTTGAGATTATTCAATTCTATTCTGTGGCAGAATTGTTATTAACAGATCGTTTAAGAAAATGTTGTGAAGATGAGCGACAATGTTTTGCGGTAAAAAGAGAGGAACCTTCAAACTAAAACAATGAAAAGCGGAGAATAATAATAATAATAATAATAATCATAATAATAATTTAATATTTATATTGCGCAAATTAACATGTGGATATGATCAAATGCGTATCACAACACTTTTCGGGGGACTTTGGCCAGACTGCATAAGCAGTCAGAGAAGCGTGACATCGAATGCAAATCACAAAAGCAAACGATGTTGTCGTCTAGCGAAACTGGCGATCAAAATTGACCAAAAGACAAATTCAATTTTCAAAACAATTAATCTGTGTTTTGGTAAATTATTTTTTGTTTGATCCTTTTTGGCCAACGGAAGATTGGGGGTTAATTGAAGTACCGGGAAAAAAAACCCGTTGTCAACACAATCATCCCGTGAGGAATATTTGTACCTGGCGTTGCGCCCATAACTTGTAACGTACGTGATCGCGTACTCGTCCGTTCTGATCATGCACGATTGTAATTATATATATCTCATTAAACGTTTTGTTGAGTAGCATCGCTGAGTATTTTTACGATTTGAGCCGTATTTTGATGAGGCCGTAGGACGAGTCAAAATTTAAACCATGAGTAAACATACTCAGCGATATTACACAACAAAACGTTTAATAAGAGATTTGTTATCCAACTCGTCAAATTGTTACGGTTCTCTGGAGTATAAATATCGCGTGGTATTTGTACTCGATTCTTGCGTTTTTATGCAGTTGGATAATAAATAGTTGTATGACTTACTTTCAGGCTCATGAAATAAAAAAAATATATTTCTAGTTACTCTCGAAGGTCAATTCAAGTCACAGTGTCCAAAGTGGCAATTTGACGCGAAATTGACCTCCATGGAATAAAATCACTACAACTCAATTATTGTTCCTTCACTCTTAATTAGCTGGTGAGCAATTAATACCGAAAAAAAATTTAAAAAAATTGTTATCTTTCTCAGAAATTATCGTTTGTCATTCATTATAATTAAAGGTGTTAGGATTTCAGCTTTGAACATACTACTGGATAGAAATTGAAACCGAAAGTTCCGGGAAATTTCCCTTCCATCTATTTTGACGTAATGCCCCATAATCTGAGACAATGGAAACTGAAAAGCTTGTCTTCGAATGCTAATTACATAGTAAACCATGTTGTCAGCCAACGAAACTGGTAGTGAAAGTAGCTTAAAATACCTCAACGAAAAACCGCCAGAGCTGGAAATTGAAATCCCAAAGGAAAGCGATCTTACAAATGATTTCAGGGAGTTCAAAGATGTCCAGCTTCCGATAGATATCTTGCTCCTGACTGTGAAAGACATCGAGTTTCGAAGCTCTTACTACTATCTAAGAAATGTCTTTCGAAGCTACGAGAGAGCCCTCGGCTTAGTGTATTTCGGAGATATGGGTGAAGTCGGAAATACGAAACTGAAAGTCGCTTTATTCAAATGTTCAGAGGGAGCAACAAACCCTGGAGGAGCACTACTCGCGGTAAAAAATGCTGTGACGAGATTACGACCGAAGGCTGTGTTTTGTGTCGGTTTTTGTGGAGCATTGCACCGAGACAAGACCAAGTTAGGAGATGTTATAGTCTCTGCAAAGCTGACTACTTACGCCGACAGAACAGTGACGAATCTGGGAATCTATCCTCGTGGCTTCTCTGTGCCAGTTGGTAACGACATCGGTGGCTTGATAAGATCCGCTGGTTTTGGCTGGAAAGCCCCCTTAAAGAACCCAGAAGAAAGAGGGTCAGTGAAAGTGTATAGTGACGGGGAGTTTTTGAGTGGCCCAGAGGAGATTGATTTTGAACAAAGAAGGTGCGAACTCGTACATAGGTACCCCAACGCAATTGGAGTCGAAATGGATGGCCAAGGTGAGAAGGATAGCTGTGCTTCGTCAGCAGTACGCTAAGAAGTAAATGAAGAGTTGAAATGGGGGTTTATTGTTCAGTATTGCTTAGTTTTCCGTAACAGTTCAGCGCTAAAGTTTCGTATGCTTACCGTGGGCTTATTGTTGCGTGTTTAAGATAGCGCTCGCTTAGCACGAAAGTCTTAGTAATCAACAGCTGCAAGTCGTTCGATTATCGATCTGACGTCATTTCGTTTACTTTCACTATCTCAGTTACATTGACTAATTCACCGATTTCCTTCCGTATGGTTGCCTCGATCGGTCACTTGTTTATAAGCAAAAAGGAGGAATTATTTTGTTCAGTTTAATATCCAAGTTGTTTACGAATAAATTCGAGCGTTCATACTTTGGGCTTTCCCGGAAAACGTTCCAGAATAACAATGTTGTTTCTAATCGTTACGACTTTTCTTAGAACAGCAGCGTGTTATGGTTCAATGAGTCTTATTCGACCGGAAACGTAACAGAATCTGAATACCTCTGCCTAATCACGTTCCACAGAGGAATTAAGAGGTTGGACTCTGTGGGAAGAAGAACACGAACACAATATGCAAGCCTAATAAATGTGCTACTTATTTCTTTTGTGTAGCAAGAGCTACATACACATGTGTAGAGTGACTAAAATCACAATCTGTCAAAGTGCTTTTGTCTTAAACTATGGCTGCTGACATCTCAAGCCTAAGGCCGAACCCAGTTCAAAACATTCAGTGAATCTGCGGGAATTGTATTTTACAAGTGGTAATTACACAGTTCATTCGCTCCGACGAAGGGCTAACGCTCGAAACGTTAACTTTTGTAATCGTTTCGGTGGCCAATTTACCATTTCAACTTTGTTGATATCTCCAAATTATTATGTAATTACAGAGTGTTTACAATCATTTTGAATGTTCCCACAGGTGTGTTTAGCGCAGCTCATGACCTGAAGATGGAATGGGTGGTCATCAAAGGCGTCTCTAATTATGCAGACGGCACTGCCTCTTTTACTGAACACTGGAAGCCTTTCGCTAGTGTCATGGCAGCTTCTGTTGTCAACAACATCCTCCGTGTGCCAGCTGTGTTTAAAGAATGGGCTCATTACACGAGCAGCGATACGGGAAGAGCACAGAATGAAGGTAAAGAGAATGTAGTAGTGTCCTCTGTGGCGACCCAGGGTTAGGTTTAAGCCTCCTTAACTTTGTTCACTAAACCAACGTTTAGATAAATCATTCTGCAGACTGAAGATGTTTCAACCCAGTTTCTCTCCACAACGACTTAACTTTGTTAAGATAACCAGCCCCTTGATTTGGATTGAAATGTATCGTTTTCACGCACATTGAGTAATGTAGCCAGTTACTGAAGTGACCGTTGTTTCGTAAAAGTATCCCCTTTGATGGCAATACCTCCTTCATTTCAGACCGAACACCTACTATAAATAATGCAGCGACCGCGAGAAGGAACAGTCCAAACGATATATTGGGGTCTTTGCTGAACTCAATCACTGGTGATTCAGGCCAGATATTATAACCAAATGGGTACTCAACGCTTTAGCTTTACTTCCCTCGGGAAACCTATCCAATAAGTTCCATCAAATATATAGAGGATATTACATGGCCGCGCGGGGATACGAATTTTATCTTCGAGTGCTGAAAGTATCTCTCACGAGTGAGCGCGGCGAACGAGTGAGAGATAATTTCAGCACGAGAAGATAAAATTCGTATCCCCAAGCGGCCATGTAATGTTCTGTTTATTATCTAGATACTGATGGAATTTCCACATAAAAGACAACTTTTTTATTCATTTTCGAAACAGCAATTAGGTAATTATGTTGGTAACCATGGCCACACCAATATCTTCACACGTGAAAGATAAAAATAGTATCTTCACTGCGCGCGGTGAAGATATGATTTTTTAGTAAAAGGAGAAATCCTGGTATTTCATCAGTATCTATATAATAAATGAATGTCTCAAATTTATAATGATAGTTATTTGGATGATATATATCTACTCTTTTTCTTCTCCTTCCCTCTTTTGTCGCATGATATATTCATTACGAACACAATTTAAATGATGTTTATTTTTATTGCAGTTGATAATTAGATTGTTTACCATGTTTACACTACTTCATAAAATTCGTGAAAGCCGAATTTTAGATAATGGATAAATGATGTAGTGACTTAATAATTGACGGATTCACCGATTTATCGACCTACTCATTGATTACCAAGAAGGCATATCATCCATAATCTAGTGAAACAACAGTCATCATTTATTTCGGGGGTGGGTTGTGGAGGAAGTATTTTGATTACCAAGAAGGTATATCAACAATAACGCAGTGAAGGAACAGTCACTATTTATCTCGGGAGTTGGGTTTGGAGGAAAGTTTTGGGGGGTCACATGGTTTTCATGGGAAACAGAGAGGCAATCAGTCGTCAACAACAGATTATATAGAGAGGACTTTAAATAACTGACTACCAATCAACTGCCAATGAGGGGGGATCGTAAGAATATTACAGGGCCCTATAGGGGGGTCAGGTACATTTTTATCGTGGCGCAACCAGAATCTTCCCACCTTCCTCCCTCCCTCCCTCCCTCTCTGAGATTTGTAATGGGCGGTCCTCGTGTCTAGTTATTGTACAGATCTTTTTCGGTGAGTGAGGGACATTGGTTGGTTTGATGGTTTGAGCATTTTCCGCAATTTATCTGTGCATATAAACTTTAATATTTCTCAGTGATAACTATCCCTTTTCTGAAAATTTCAGATTAGCTACAAAGGACGAGAAATTCATTACACTTCCCGCGGAAGAGTGCACTCCTTGCAAGAGCCTTGGGTGTTTGATGCCACGGCCTGGGACCTAGAGAGTGGAATAACCATCGAGGCTCGTCATTACCCGAGGAGTCAGGATGCTGCGTACGATGCTGTGAAAAAACTCAAAGAAGAACTAAGGATTAAAGGACTGCTAAGCGAGTAGTGACAAGGCGTGCGTTCTCTTAGATAATTCGAAATTTGTCTCCCCTCTGAGTGTCGTTCAAAAAAGATGAGGATGAGAGAACACCTCATCACAGCATAAATCATGCATAGCTTGAAAAGATGAAACCTGTCGAGGCACGGAATTTTGTTTTTTGGTTTTTTAGTTTTTGTTTTTTTGCGATTTTATTTTCTGTCGGGTGTTGTGAAAGGCCCACTGATATTTGCCTAAGTCTTTGAGAGTCTTGAAGGGAAAGGTGCGAGTAGGGACTAACTGCCATGTACTCCTTCCGAGTCAAAAGGTACAAGGTTCGAACCCTATCTGGATATTTATTTCTCGTCTCTTCTTTTCTTTTTCCTTTATTTCCCTTTCAATTTGCATTATTCTTGAAAGGATATGTTAAATATGTTCAGATCAAAACTTAAACTTGAGAACGTTTGACGACATTGCTTTTGCGTTCAAATCGATGACAGTGTCAAAATGTAGAGGTGAGACCCTGAATAAAACAATAAACTAAACCCGACAAAACCAAACTGAATCCAAAGAAACCAGACCAGATTTGTTCAACCGGGTGAGTCGCAAGAGACGTTCAAAGTTTCTCGCCATAGTCAGCCGTATTGAAAACCGAGAGGGGCTTGGGGGAAGGCTTACACCAACATCGTAACATGGCCCCTACGGCCTTCTTAGAGGGAAGGTACAGTGGGCACAAAAATATATGCCATTTGTATCAGCTATTTACAGAGTATATCGCAAAAGTCATAACTGCCGAAAAGCAACCCGAGTCATGTTTGAGGAAAAAGCAGTTTATCGCAAAGTATAAACACAAGTTGAAACACAGGGTACCCAAACTCATAGGAGGGTGGGAATAACAGCTGCCTATCATAATCATGAGGGTTCATGGGAAGTTTCGCCATAGAATAAATAATTACCCCAACATCAATGGATGTTACTTCAATCTGTACTATATACCTTAAAACAGCTTTGAAGAACCACTAATACCTCAACAAAATGCCGCCAGAACTGAAAGATAAAATCCCAGACCTAAGCGATCTTAAAAATAACTTCAGGGAGTTCAAGGATGTCCAGCTTCCTATAGATATCTTGCTCCTGACTGTGAAAGACATCGAGTTTCAAAGCTGTTACTTCTACCTAAAAGATGTCTTTCAGAGCTACGAGAAAGATCTCGGCTATGTGTATTTCGGAGAGATGGGTGAAGTTGGAAATGCGAAACTGAAAGTTGCTTTATTCAAATGTTCAGCAAAGCCTGGGGGAGCGCTACTCGCGGTGATGAACACTGTGAGGAAATTACGACCGAAAGCTGTCTTTTGTGTCGGTTGTTGTGGAGCATTGCATCGTGACATGACCAATTTAGGAGATGTTATAGTCTCTGCAAAGCTGACTACTTTCGCCCAAAGACTAGTGACGAATCAGGGAGTTCATCCTTGTGGCTTTTCTGTGCCAGTCAGTAACGACATCGGTAAAATCATACAATACGCTAGTTGTGGCTGGAAGGCCCCTTTAAAGAACCCAGAAGAAAGAGGGTCTGTGAAAGTGCATACTGATGGAGAGTTTTTAAGCGGACCAGAGGAGATTGATTCTGAAGAAAGATGGCGCGAACTCGTGAAGCTTTACCCCAATGCAATAGCAATCGAAAAGGATGGCGAAGGTGAGATATAACAGCTATTTTTGTACAGATACGCGGTGCTATGCGGGTCGATTATATAGGATTGCTTGGTTTAATTGCCGAAACGTTACAGCGCCAGTGGTCCGAGTGCTTGCTGACAGCTTAGTGTCGAGCGTTTTAAGATCAACATGGTTCTCGTTGAGCCCAATAGCTTGAGTAGTCAACAGCCGCAGCTCAATCAGTCGTCGTAATGTTTATATTTTTCTTCACTGTTTCCATGACTATTTTTAGCGATTTTCTACCTATCACGACTTCAGTCACTTAGTTTGATAAATAAAAGAAGGTAATTACTTCGGCCAGTTTTAATCCAAGTTGGTCACGGAATAAATTCGATTATGTATGTTTTTGGATTTCTCGGAAATAGTTGTTACATTCAATCGTCGTGAGGTTTCATGGAATAACTTTCATTTGTGTTATTGTTCGATACGTCTTTAGTGCCTTTGATCGGAAACATAACAGAATAAATTAAAAATGCTTAATCACGCTTGACTGAGGAGATAAGAGGTGAGAAGAGGTACGCTGATACCCTGATCGATCGACTGGGTAAATTTCTTATGTGCATTGCAAGAGCTACATTAACTTTTGTCCCCAAGGCTTTAGCATTGCCAAAATCACAATTTTTCAAAGTTCTATTCTCTTAAAACTATGGCCCGTAACATCTCAAGGCTGAGGTCAAGCGACAGTTCCATGAATTCAGTTAAGCTGCCATAATTGCGTTTTACGCATGTTACTTGGACAATCTTTAATAGTACTTTAATGTTCCTATATATAGGTGTGTTTAGTGCAGCACAGGACCTGAGGATGGAGTGGGTGGTCATCAAAGGCATCTCTAATTATGTAGACGGCACTGCCTCTTTCACTGAGAAGTGGGAGCCTTTTGCTAGCGCCATGGCAGCTTCTGTTGTCAACAATATCCTCCGTACGCCCGTTGTGTTCAAGGAATGGGCTCATTACAAGAGTAGCGATACAGCAAGAGCACAAAATGAAGGTAACGCGGAAGTAGCAAGTAAACTCTAGAGGCAAACAATCAATTTACCTCAAGCAAGCTCGAGTATGCTAAACATAGCCTTCGTTTAATTTAGTTTCCGAGCCACCTTACTTTCTTTCTGCAAGAAAATGAACTATGAAACAACCTAAGGGTATAAAGTTTAGCGTGTTTCAGAGGTCAAAATCTTAGGTTGGGTGGAAAATTTAATTTTAGTTGAGAGAAGATATGATAAGATTCTATGATAAGAACTTACAGCTGATATTTCTTTGCTTGCAGCTCAAGCCTCCGCTCGATTCAATGCAGAAGAAGGAAACGGAGGTAGTTGGGACAATACCTTGGGATCTCTGCTGCAGTCATTAACCAGTGAATCGGGTCAGGTATTGTCTCAAGTACATTGGCATCCAACACCACATGTATTCCGCTGATGAAGTTCACTTTGTTTTGATGATGATGATCAAATTCAGTCTTGAAAGTGATCAGATGCCAGTGACAACGACTTTAATTTTCAATTTCTCCATTGTGGTGACATAAAATGGTTTTGTCATGCACTTATGAAGACTAAATAT